GTATTACAACCCTTCAGGACCACCTCCTCCTCCACCTCCACCCATGATTCCTTCAGCACAAACTGCTTTTGTCAGCCCTCTCCAGATCCCCATGCTGCCCCCCTTTCCTGCATCAGCTGGTTCCACATATGCAGCTCCTCCTCATCCACCCTCAGCTGGGCTCCTCATCACAGAACCACCGCCTCCAGGTCTACCACCTCCCCCACMAGGCCCTCCTGGCTCCAGGTCTTCTCTTTCATCCTCCCCAATGCATGGCCCTCTGTGGCTGAGGCAAAGCATCCTGAGCCTGCACAACCCCTGATAAGTAATGCTCGAAGTGACCTCCTTGCTGCCATCTGGATGGGTAAGTGGAGCACCCCACATACACAGCCTTCGTTATAGAGAGATTTCTTTAGGTCTCTAGCAAACTTCAACCTTGTTGCCTTCAAATGATAGCTCTACACATTAAATGATTTTTTGGAGTCAAAGGATGCTTGTTTGATTTTTTTTAATATTAGGAGTATTTTTGTAGTTGTCAGGTATGCATATCATGATAAAGAATTGAGAAGAAACTAGAGTCAGGCATATAGAACAGTGTAGTTCTAGAACTTTCCATTGAGGTGTTCATGTGCACCTTAGTCACAACTAATCTTCTTAAAATGGGCTTCGCACACTCTTTTCTCCCCTCAAATTTCTAAAACCTTTTGTCCTTAAACTTAGAAAAACCAAGTCCAGTAGCCCTGTTCAGTTTTCTTTCCTTTTGGAGCAATCAGAACATTTTAATTCTCACCYCTATGTCGTGTCTCTAGGAATTCAGCTGAAAAAGGTGCAGGAGCAACGTGAGCAAGAGGCCACGCAGGAGCCTGTTGGAAACCACATGGCCACAATCCTGTCCAGACTCATTGCTGTAGAGTACAGCGACTCTGATGACGACTCTGAGTTTGATGAGAACGACTGGTCTGACTAAGGCCATACAGGGACAGTGACAGGTGGACCACCAGTACAGTGTGTGTCGAAGTTCACTGGGGATTTCAGATGGTTTCAGCACCCAAATAGTGGTATTATAATCCTGTAGCTTAGCACCTTTTGTATTAATAATGTGATATTGCTTCTGCACATCC